AACTACCATGACCCCACTGTATATCATATTCCACCACTTCACGGTACCCATCTTACCTTTGTCTCTACCTTTGTGTCTGTCTCAATTTTGCATCTTTGAATCAATCTTCTGTTTTCCTTCTCCACTTTTTGTCACTTTGATGTTCCTCCCCTCTGTGAAGCCCGAAGTCAATTTAGGGGCTAATGGTAACTATCATAATGCCTGAAATTTGACATAGATAAATAAATACCAAGTAAAAATTTGAGAAACGAAAAGTGATCACTAAGATCTCTATAAACACTGTCAAATTGTAAGTAAGAGGCAGAATACAATGATCAAAATGTTTATTAGATATAATTATCATTGAGAAAATGTGGGTTTCTAACTCACCCCCCGTCCCAACTCACAAATATCAAGGTATGTACTCGGTCGAACTTTTGACCAAACGATTGGTCATTCCACTTACTTCCATGAGCAGCCTGTGTTCCATTATAATCACGAGAGAGAATAAATCGTTATCTTTTCCCCTTTTAGTCCTACTTATTGGCAATATGCACAAAAAATTGTTCACAATTTCTTACGCAGAACCCGTTTTATTGTAATGAAGTAATAGAAACTCAGCATGAAGTATAATAATATTCGATTAAGCACTTTCATAATTGAAAAGCATTAGTTAAGGTGATTTTGTTGGAACCATCTTATAATTAGGCTACTTTTAATTAAGTGTGGGGGTTGAACGGGCAAGTTATTGTTAACTTCCAAGTCCTCAGTCAGTTTGGTACATTTTCGGTAATAATTGTCGTGATTATTTATGAAATTTTAATTTCTTATTCCGGATATGAAGGTTAAAGTTTCTTTATAGATTAAATCAAGCAAGCTCCGAAGCGGAAACAAGAAATTGCAAAATTATAATTTTTGGTGTAATCTTATAATGAAATAACACAATTATTAAAAATGAACATTGTTATTGCATTTTTTCATGAAAGTCTGAGTGGAGGTAAAAAATATTTTCTTGAAAAAGTTGTTCGCACAATCTTTGATTACTTAAATCAACGTTTTTTTATGTCGGAATGTCTCATTTGATGTTAGTATTGCTTCAATGCAGTCTAGTTCAAAGCACCAAAATACCCAAATGTTCTAGTTTAAAAAAATTTATATTTACCAAGACCATTTTATATTACAATGGGTGCATATTGTCCAAAATAATACTTGATTATCAGCTAACCCCGAAAAATGTGAACAGGCAAATCGCCACAATTCCACTTTACTTCAATTTGACGTTTTTTTGCCTTCCTTACTTATTCCCGATCGTGCTCATTTCCACTTGTCCAATAATTACATGCTTCAACTTAAGTCTTGGCCTTCATATTTTGCGATTAACTGCTACTTACTGTTGGCCACTAGGACGATCACTCGTTTATGAATAGGAACTTTAAGCCCACTTGGACGCGATTCCAAAAGTGGCATTACTCGCTGGATGTGGAACGACTCTAATATGTTCCAGTTGAGTGTTATTATTTCATTTTTCAAGTAATCGGTAGATTTTCATGTTTGAATGCAAAACTGTCAAATCACATAAATAAAATCTTTCTAAAGCAACCAAGCGTAAATATTCAATATTTAGCGCATTTTTACCGCATTCTCCAATAATCGTTTTCCAGGATCGCCCTTGCCTTCCATAGTTAATGACAGTTAATTAGTTCGAACACATTTTTAGAAGTTCATTTTCGATAAACGATATACTATATTTTTATTCTTAAAGTGAATAATCGGGTGCATTCAATCACAACTAAGGGCATTTAGTGGTAACAACTTAAGCATTCTAGGTTTAGTGATATGTAGCATAACACGTCTCATTTAGGAGTAAAGTGAGCAAATCGTATATCTTGATAAGTTTCTGTGACTCGCTGTAGGGCAATATGGGCATAATGATTTTTCAACAATTTGCGCTTACGATTATTGTGTAATTTGAACAATAAGTACACTACTAATCAACCCAATTGTCATGCATTTGCATTTTTAGTGAAAAGTTCACTTTCAGATGAAGGCATGAATTCCCCTAAACTTATTTGTTCGCAACAAATAATTTTTTTATATTATTTTACATTATTTTCAGAATGGATACAGGGATTATTTCTCTATATTCTTAAATGTAATCCCCCCATCAATAGCATGTAAGCATAAAAATGTGCATGTTTTTCAGGGTAAATTTACCAGTCGCAATGGACTATCACTTAAAATAGCCATCATGAACATCTTATCCAGCTATTGGGTTAAGATTTGGGGGGGGGGGACCTTGGAGGTCAAACATGAAACAACTTTCAATAATTTTATCTTTTGCGAATATTGTCTGAATAACAATTTAGTTTATATGTCTATGTTAAATTTGTGAAGTTTTTTTCATTCACAATATGAAAATTATATAAATTAATGATGAGCTCCTAAAGATAAAATGATGAGACTGAAAATCTTAGGATATTTCAGAGTAGACATGATGAGGCAATGTAAAATGCAATTCAAGATAAGCTCAAATGAGGAGCAATACCGCGGTATGTGTTTCCCTGAGGTGAGTTAACTCTCCTTATAGTCATTTATCACACCATTTCTTTATGCTATTATGCTTAAATGCCTTGATTTGGAAATTATTACCAAATAAAATTGCCATAATTTCTTATTTTTATAAGGGCACAAATTATAAGAATATTTATAGAAATAGGGGCTTTGAACTCTAAGGTAAACGTTTGATCAATTCCTGTGTCTGAATTTGTCGATTTTTTTCAATTATGGCAGTACATAGCTTTCGTAATGTTTTCAAGCCTGAAAAAGAATGAAGAGGACACGAAATGCCTTAAGTTACACCAAGGAAAATAATAATCAAAGAAAACTTCGAATCGTATAAATTTAAAAAAAGAAATTCGTCAAGCATTCAAATCTATAAAGCAGGTATTTCTTTCTACCATACATGAATTTCCTTGAACTTGTTATTTGAAATCACGCAGTACTAACAAAATTCTAGCTCGAATCTATGATTAAATATGTCAGCCGCCAATTCGCTTTTTTTCCTCGCCCAACAGATTACGACTTTAATTTGATCTAAGAATTGTTAGCTAAAAATTGCTATGCTGCTATTATATTTAAGAGTAATTATTTTAGATATTTAAATGCGCTGTTATGTGAATGAAATTGCTTGCGTTGCACTTGTAAATGACATTGGTTTCAAATCGTCATATCGTTATAATAACATTCATCCAGATTTGACTTTGTGGTCTGGCTCGATGTTATTTCGGTTTTGACAGATTATATTTGTATCTCGTTCACTTTCTCAAAGGAACAATTCAAAGTAACTCCCAGTCAAGATGAAATAAATAGAAAGCTTGTAAAGTGGAAAAGGATGAAAGAAAAATATATACTTCAAACCTTAAGCGAGGACTATTGCAATGCGTCATCGATATTATGAGAGTCGTTGGGGATGTACACGAAAAAAAGATGGAATAAGTTATTCAAAACATCAAGGGAAAATATACGCCCTAAAAACATTTAAGCTTCGCGTTGGCGTATGAATTCAGTGGGTTAGAGCTGAAATGCCTGGTTGGTCAAAGTAGGCATTTGCAGAGGAATTTTGTGTAAGATATCAGGGTGCTTGACAGATTGCCCTCTAAATTAAGACTTAAAACTTGTAATTGAAGAGACTGAAATAAGAAAGGAAAATCGATTCAAAATTTTAGTTTTCTATTGATATTGAGGCTTTGAACTTGTGACATAAGGGACTGACATCCCTACATATGGAATGTTAAATGACCATTGAGTAAAAAAATTCCACTTTTAATACAGTGTTTGTTTCAAAAATATAAATCACATTGACATGTAATGTATAAAAATTAGACAATATGTCGACCTTTTTGAAATCATGACCTAGGTCTAGTTTTAAAATATAAAGTGACATAGTAATAGTTCAAATCTGATAGATGGTGTTCAGAAATTTGTCGAGGAAGCCCAAATTAATAGTTTTTGATTTAGGCAAGTACATGCTTTTTAGGTTATTCTATATCAGGTTATATGCTATTTTATTGTGTTTACTCTAATATTTGCCTGTGTAAATAACCATCACTTATTATAGATCTCACATTATGGCCTTTTGATTGCATTGACTATACTTATTCAAATTTAACCATTCGGTAAGATAAAGCGGTTTGTTGTTCGTTTTAGAGATGGCAAAGTGTATGATAGGTTTAATCATGTGGTAACACCTTTTCCAGAAACTGGGGCTGTGCTACAAGCAATCAAAGGAGAGCCTAATATTAAGATAGCTGTTGCTTCATCGTGAGTTAAATATTCATTCACACTAATTTATTTTAGGTCGGCTGCTCCTGAAATGGGTAGAAGGTTTATAAGTCTCTTCGGTTGGGATACGTATTTTGACTATGTGGAAATTTACCCAACTGGGAAAACTCGGCATTTCAGAAAGTAATTTGTTGGATTTACATTTTTATAATGGCTTAATTAGATTAAAAAGGGACTCTGAAATCTCCTTCCAAGATATGCTTTTCTTCGATGATCTCGGTTTCAACATTCGGGACGTCTCTTCTCTAGGAGTTCATTGTGTCCACGTTGATGAAGATGGTGTTGATCTTGCGCTCCTACGCAGTGGCTTGGAAAGCTTTGCTCGAGCCAGTTCTTAAATCTCGGTTAAACTTGTTTTATGAATATTTTGATTGTTGATATGTACCGCTTTCATTTTGCCATTTTTCTTCGAACACCTTAAAATATCCTAGATTTTTATATTTGTTTAATAAAGAATTCATATCTAGTTATATTAATTATCGTTCTTTTGAATAACTTTCAAATGTTTTGACTGCCTCGGTTCTTTTGAAGGTGCTAATAATAAATCGAGCTTTCTAAAGACAACTTTAATGTGTCATTTATTTTTAAATTATGTGCATGTTACGACATAATATATTTTTCGTCATCTTTTGCAACTTATCAATTGCTCTCGTAGTTTTTCTAATCGCTAAAGTGGTTTTCGACCGCAGTCGCATTTCAAAACTGTTTTCTTTTTACTGTGCTTCATAAACCTGAAAAGGGGCGAGGTCTGGCGAATATGGAGGACGTGATGGAACATTTTAATTTTTGGTTTAGTCTTCCCACTTACTGGCACCAATAAGCTTTGGTTGTAATTTGGGCAATTCCTAGTGGATTATTCCACGTGTATCTCATTAAATGCGCTTAATAAGTTTCCTATGGGTACGAAATGGGTGTCTGACAACCGGAGTTTTACCCACTAACGCCGTCATTGACAATCCACTTCTCCCTAGTAAGAATTTATTGTATGAACGACAATTTTTTTGTCTTGACAACAATGAAGTGTAAGTGTTTCTCTTCATATCTGCTATACGGGAAGGGTTGGTGTGGAGCACCCACATTCCCATTCTTCACCGTGGCTTGACAGACCAAACATTAGTTATAAGTTGCCGTATCTTGACATAATTTGAATCCCATAATCTTTTATTTATTGAATTTATAGCTTCAAGATTTCTTTATGCCGTAACATTAATGTGTTTTTCAAATATTCTCAAATGAAATTATCACTACTGTACCTGCCTATTTCTGTCGGAAATTACCTGATTGTTGAATTCGAGAATAAAACCCGCGGTAAGACTACATGTGGGTATTTTTAGGTATAGAGTTAGCAAAGTCCAAAAATATGGTGATTAAGAAGGTAAATTAAAGAACCGCCGTAATAAATAGTATTCATGGAGAAATTCGATGTTCGTAAAGCGGTAAGCCTATGTTAACTCTTAAGGCGTTCAGAGAGGATGCGGCCGTACAATGGACAGAACAAAATAATAACGGGCTAAAAAGCGGTACCCATAAATAAAACTGAATAACAAATCTTACTTTGCTTGACGAATATCGCATAAACACTAATTGGCATAGCCTTTGTCCTCCAACTATTGCAATCCAATGTGCAAAATGAGAGCAGTATGCGTTAAAGCTCAGTATTTTGCGCGATTCTTAAAAAGACATCCTTTAAGAGACTAGCTTTTATTTATGACTTGCAACCAGAACAAAAGAGGTAAATTAGTAAGAAACTAGGAGACATCATTTTTAATCAATTGGTAATATTACAACCAAATGGTGATCTTGGTTCAAACTGGTTCCGAGTATTAATTACAGAAAACTTCACCACCGTCATTATCATTACAAGCAACTCCTAAATGTTATAAGTGATTAAAAATACTCTGAATGCAAAGTTATTGTTGAAACGTAAATCGATTTTGCTATTAATTATTACAATACGATTTATGAAGATCAAGGTGGCCTTATTAATGATTTACTCAGGAAAGAATAGCAAATCCAATATTGCCATTTTAAGTTTGATGCGCGATTTTCCAAATATGAAAAATAATTTAAATTATACCATTTTAAAATTTTTAATTTTTTCATAAAAAATGGTAAACAATGTGAAGTGGATCCTAGTCTATTATTTTTAATACTCCATCACGTGTATCCAGGACTATAAAATGAGGTAGTTTTTCTTAACTATACTGGCCGTTCACCTTTAAATTTCTTGCGCTCACTCTCGGGAATGGTCTTCAAGGGGCTTCCGTGCAAACCCGCTCTTATTGTTTTTGATTTGGGTTTGTTTTGTATTCTTTTTTTATTCATTTTGGTCCTTGTGTAATGCTTTGATATTCTTGCAATCTTAGATCGGACACTTTGGCCATTTGATTGCGATGATTACTATGGAAGTGCTCTTTACAAGAAGTACAGTTCGATTTATTAATTTAATGTTCGCTAATTTTAGAGATGGGTTAATTCATGACGAATCTGGAGCACAGTTGACGCCATTTCCTCACTCAGAAATCATTTTAAAACGTATAAAGGAGGAGCCAGGTATCAAACTGGCTGCGGCATCTTCGTGAGTGCTAATGCTGTTTAATGATATTTAATGCTTTTATTTAATTTATAGTTTTTTCATACGTTTAGAACAACTTCTCCAAATGTTGGACGCAAATTGCTTAATTTATTAGGATGGGATAAATACTTTGACTACGTTGAAATTTACCCTACACCCAAAACTCGGCACTTTAAAGAGTTTGTTTGTTTTTGCCATATATTTGAATATTTTCTTGTTTAGACTGGAGAATAAATCGGGTATATCCTGTGACAAAATGCTCTTTTTCGACGATCTGATGTTCAATATTCGGGACACCAAGGAACTCGGTGTTCATGCTGTCTTGGTTCAAGGTGGTGTTGATTTAACTGTTTTAAGGAGCGCCCTTCAAAGCTATGCTTCAGCAAACTCCTAACTGAATACCTTGCCAGTTGTGATGTCAAAAGTTATTTTTATATCTTCTTCAAATTTATGAGTGTAGTTTTCTATTAATATATTTCTCAAATTATACAATTGTTGTCTGCTACTTTTGGTTTGGGTACCCATAGTATTTAACTGCTTATTGTAAATCCGGTGATAGCTCAACTCCCTATCTCGGAGTTGCTAAGATTTCAGTGCCAAAGCTAGTAGGCTACCTAAGAAATTTGTGTGGAGCGAGGGGCATTGAGGTGTATTTAAGTGGGGGGGGGGGGGGGGGGGGTGCGCGATAGGCTTACCTCCACTTGGGGCACTCTGGAGAGCATATACTCATTCCGCAAAAAAAGTCCATAAACCGGCTGTTGACTTCAATCTACCATGACCAGGCTATGGCAGGAGTTTTGAGAATTTTCATTGGCCCTTTAGCTGACTTCGGGCTTCACAGAGGGAAGGAACATCAGAGTACCAGAAGTCGAGAGGTGGGGAACAGAAGAGTGATTCACAGTTGTAAAAGAGACGGACAGATACAAAGGCAGAGAAAAGGTAAGATGAGTAAAGTGGAAGTGGGAGAATATGACATACGGTGGGGTCATAGTAGTTTGAAGTCAGTGCCGATTAATAGACTTTTTGCCGTATGAGTATACGTTGCCCAGGGCGTAGGTAATAGACTTTTTTGCCATATGAGTATACGTTGCCCAGGGCGCACAAATAGATTTTGCCGTATGAGTATACGTTACCCAGGGATAGACTTTTTTGCTGTATGAGTATACGTTGCCCAGGGTGTACGACATGGAGGGAAGTCTATAGCACACCCACTGCCATTTCATATAAATAGATAAATTTGTGAAGAAGACTGTAAGTGTGGGGGGGGGGTACTTTTAAGTGATATTTTCTGTCGGGTACGTGGGGCAATGGCGCAATAAGTATAGAGATATTGCATGGGCGGTATCCGTCGCGAACGTTACAGAGAGTCAAACTGCATCAAGACGTCGATGCGTATGCGGTAATCTTGTCTGTGCATTCGAGACATGCAGTACGAAATTGCTTATCTTGAGCAAGTAGACCACCAAGTACGCCATAAATTCATGCCAGTACGGACGCTCTTGTCTGTGTGGTGCGCACCAATCAGCCAATCACAAAATCACTATGTGTGTTATTAACTTAAATTTCCCATTTCAGTTTAATTATTTATTGGCCCACTTTATAATAAATTCATGCGTTTGGATTGCTCAGTTCTGAGTGAGAATATGCACTTTGCCCACTCGAAAGCACCGGCATTTTATCACTCATAATCACAAAATGCTTGAATTTCTGTAGCAATAGACTTCGATATGATGTCGTCGATAGAAACGACGCTCGTCTGTTCAGTACCCCAGTGGTTCTTGATTGACTTTAGTTTCTGAAGCATTCTTCTTCATTTCTAAATTGTCCCATAGTGTAGGTGTTTGATTTATTCTCTTGCATAAATTAATTTTATTCATGTTTCTGACATTTTTTTAACTTTTCTAATACTTTGTGGATCTCTGTTACCAAATTCAACATTTGGACGCATTAGAATGAAGTATTATCACGTATTATAGTATCGTGAATCAATTAGTCACGAGAATGTACATGGCCACACTTTTATGGCACACACGCAAATTGCTTTATTGTTCTTGATAACAACAAATTAAGAGTTATTTCTAGAGAATCAGCTGAAAAGTCTAGTGATGCCGAAAGAAAAGTTTTATTAATATATGAATATGAAAGATGAGACATTAAATATTTTTACCCAAATCGTCTGCGACTTCCCGATTTGAAACAAAAATCAATTTCATTGAGATCTTAAAGTATTTTAAGTTATCGGTAACTGGGTTGGAAGTGTGAGGGTCTCGTCGATATTCTAGCTGGTGTGAAGGTTAGAGTGCTATTAGTAGACAAAAATAAAAATTTTAAGGTTCTATCCCTCCTAGAACTATTTTTAACTCACCTTTGACGAAGCTGTCTAGGTTCACTCTGAATAATTTGGTAAAAGTCCTCTGGGTTTCGAAATTCCTTTAATTTCCTTGGTCTTACAGAGGGGCATGATGAGGATTGAATGGCCTATACTGATCTTATCAATACTGTGATTTTTCTGCCATTTCCAGTGTCTACTATTTTTGAGGTAGTCTTCGAGAAATTTGTCAAACTGGTAACAGTGGTCGTAGCCCCAGAATGACCGAAAGACTCGATGGAATCAAATTTGAAGGTCATGATGATGCGTGAAAAAATGGGCACTGACATGAATCAACAGGAGGCCAAGGAGCATAATTATGCTAATTGAATTTTCATTGAAGTGGAGTCCCATTAAAACACATTATAGATAAAGCAAGTAAATATGAAAAGGTCTAATGCCATTAAGATATATTGAAGATGGAAATTGGAGTTCAGGAGAAAAGATCACAAATAGTGTAAGAAGGCACACCCTCGCTCGCACCTTCGAGATTATTTGAATACTCATGGAGATTCTATGTCCAGCGATGACTCCACAAGGAACAAGATCACGTCCCATTGGATTACTCAGTATATTTTACATTAAATAAATAATTGGTAATATAAAAGCAGAATTAGGTGATAATGTAAAGACTGTCTACTCTATACTGCTACAGATTCGGTTACAGCTTATTTGAAAAAGGAGATCTTTGGTCTTGAACTAATCTTGTTGACATTTTAATCGGAATATTTAGTCCAAATTTAGAAGGCTACAAGAAAGCGAGTCTCTTTCTTATCAATCTTCTCTCCATTTATGGAGACAATTATGTCTTAGAACATTTCTGCAGAAAGCAGACGTCCTAGAACTGCAACAATAGAGAAGAGACCAACTTTCAAAAGGGATAACGGCTAATTTAGCCTCTTTTCAAGTTATTAGAAGCGTTCAGATTTTGGTTCAATCGAATCCATCAACAAGACGTATCTCTGATATATTTTCGGGACCACCAATGTTTTAAGCAAGGGGTGTGCGATAAACTTATCTCCACGTGTTGCATCCTGGGCAACATATACTCATGCCGTAAGGAAAGTCTATGAACCCACAGTTGACTTCTGTCTTCGAACTACTATGAACCGACTGTATGTCATACTCGCCACATCCAAAGTACTCACCTCACCTCACCTTTTCCTCTACTTTTGAGTCTGTCTCTCTTTCACATCTATGAATCAATCTTTTGCTTTCCTTCCCCACTATCGTCACTTTGATGTTCCTCCCCTCTGTGAAACCCGAAGTCGACTAAAGGGCTAATGATAACTGTCAAACCGCTTGTCATTTGCAATAAATCGATAAATATATGCCAAAGTACAAGTTAACGTTGTTCCAGAACACTCGCACAAGTGACAAGGTTCAACTTGAAATTCCAGGGCTAATGATAACTATCTTAACACCTGCCATTCGATATAAATGCATGCTTAAAATAAAATTACAAACTTCTCTTCTGTTTTGTTTATAAAACCATTTGACAGGACACTGACAGATAACACTCGAGGCTGAAGAATATGTTCCTATAGGGATAAGCAATCCCCACAGGTGGTCTGTACGTCGACAATCGCTCTTATCAAAATGCAAAGTATAGGTTTGTAAAGTCCACTACACTGTCATCACTGAACAAAGGAAACTCATGCGCACACTCGTGAGACGTTTGCGCAAAAACCACCCAGCCAACCGCCAAATAATAGAACA